GCCACGAGGCAACCCACGGCCCAGAGGAGGGTTTCGGGGCTCTTCTCACCAGGGTAGAAACAACACCCGGAGGAGAGGCCCCACTGAGGCCGAGCAAGCCATGTGTGCCTTTCAGGACTTAAACTTCAAGCTGAAAGACCAAATTGAAGTCCTGGAGCAGCAGGCAAAACGTCTCCGAGAGAGAAACGCAGAGCTGGTCGAGAAACTCATCGCTCGAGAAGCCGCCTTCACTCGTCTGGAGAGTCGCCTTAAGTCTGGCGACGAGAAGAGAGAGGAGGAAAAGACGGAGCTGCTGGCCCTCCAAGAGAAAGTCCGTCAGGTTGAGGAACGCAACCAAGAGCTCCAGGAGAAGAACAACGTCCTGGAAGCTGAGAACGCGGACCTCAGAGGGCAAAAGCTGGAGGCGGAGGCCAAAGATCAGCTGGTGGAGGGGAGGACGACCGTTCTCCAGCTGCAGGTGGAAGATCTCCAGGAGGAAAAGAGGGAGCTGGTTGCAAAAGTCAACAATGGTGAAGACGCAATCAGCTCTCTCGAGACCCTGCAGTCCTGCGAGGAGGACAAAGGAGAGCTGTTGGTCCTCTGCGAGGAGAGCCAACAGCTGGGACAAAAGAACAAGGAGCTCCAGGAGAACACCATCCTCCTGGAAGCTGAAAACGTGGACCTCAGAGGGCAACAGGTGGAGGCAGAGACAAAGAAACAGACAATGGAGGAGATGGAAGCCCTTGAGCTAATAAACCAGGAGCTGCAACATCTCCTGGTTAAGAAAGCCAAATGGAGACCCTTCAAGAGGCTGACGGAGGAGGAAAAGAGACAAATCAAAGAACTGAAAGAAAGGAAAAAGAAGGAGAAGAAGGAGAAGAAAGAAAAAGAAAAAGAGGAGAAATCGAAAAAGAGAAGATTCTGGTTCTTCTGAACCAGTCTCCTCCTCTTCCTGCNATAAATAATTGTATATATTATTATATTATATCAACAATTTCCCTGAGGTACCCTACCAAAGGGATCAATAAAGCTCTAATCTAATCTAATCTAATCTAATATTAGGAATTGAAAAATGGTAAAGAATGTGTACCAATTACAGGTAACTACTACGATGATCAGAAAATGTGTATTAATTTACATGTCGACTGTAAAAAACGGGGGGAAAACACCTATACATGAGGTTCACTACATCTTTTTACAACATTTGACCTTAAAATTCTACTGTTTTTACTGTATTTACATTTTAAAATGATGTTTCTGGCAGATAATTTATGCTTTTTTTAACAGAACAATTCTGTGAGAAACTGAGTAACATGTAAAAAGGAGCTAAAACTAAAGTGTGCTCAATGCATGCTTTTGTTTTATCTGGAATTTAACAAAACAGGACAAAAAAAAATCCCGAACATAACAGTAAACTGTAAAATGAATTTTTTAAAAACAACATTGTTTTCTCCATTGCAGCCTGACAACAGACAGAAAGCTGCTTGCGATCACACTGGTACGGTATCTAACGGGAACATGTGTTTGACTTTTCATTTATATGTCTTCACCCTCCTTTCTGCATCCAGCGTGAGGTTTAATGTGGTGTTAAACATGGACGCTCAGGGCAAAGGTCAAAACAATCTGAAATAACTGGATAACAGCAACGACACTGATGCTGTTGAGCTGCAGTGACTGTGTGTACGATCAGCGGCTGTTACTATTTATTCACTGTCGGGGAGTAAAACACACTCGTGAGTTGTTTCAGTGACTTTCTGGAAAGTTAAGCTGAAGCTCTGGTCCATTTTACACAGCAGCCATGTTGCCAGCCCTCATTTGCATATTAAGAGTTCCGGAGAATGATGTCACAGTGAGCGGAACTTTTGAGGGCATAAATTCTGGCAAGAGAGACAAAAACTCTCACAACCACCGAACTGCACGAGAGGACAGCAGCAAACTGAGACCACTCGAGGCAACTTGACTGAGAGCATCTGCAGACAAGTAAGACCCTCTACACAGGTCTAGAGCAGCACAGAGCAGCTCAGCATCAGCACCACACTTAACCATCAACTGTTTTTTTTCTCCTGTAGGATCGATTACCAGACTCTAAACACCAGAGACAACTGGATCAGACTTAAGGCGTCCTCATATCCAGCATCCGTCGAAAAGTAAGAACCTTATAACCGATTAATCAGTCGATTAGTGGATAAAAATAGCTTCTTTTTTTGGTCCCTTAATGCTTAAACAACAACAGAGACATGAATCCCAGGCAGAACATTTGACTGTTTTACACTTAGTCCTTTAGTATGTGTTTAACTTTACACCAGAGAGGAATTTACAAGAACAGAAACATGCAACAAAGCGTTAAACATCACATGCATCAGTAAAAAACTACAAGTTTTAAGAACACAGATGTCTGTAATGTGGGCTGTTTAGTTTTAAATGTGCATTTGTCTTTCTGTGGAGCTCCCAGCTTTACTGATGACTTTATCTGTAGGTTTAGACCACAGGTGTCTGCTGTATATTCAGAATATATCGGTGATTAATCAGTAAAACTCTGGCCGATGATGAGTGTTTTAAAAATTGCTATAATCGGACGATTTAATCAACCAGCAGATAAATCGGTTGGGCTCTAGTTTAGTGCAGCACAGACCAGCACAGTATCAGTACCAGTGTTAACCATCAACTGTTTGGTTCCTGTAGGATCTTTCACGGCACTCTGAGACCAGAGACACCTGGACCAGACTCAAGGCTTCTTGATTACCAGCTTCTGTCTAAAAGTAAGACCCTCTACACAGCAGACCCACATCAACTCTGTCACAACTGATTTCAGCACTTTT